TGTGTTTTTGGGCCCTGGGACCCTGCCACAGACTGGCTACTCCCACCTCAGTCGCCAGGGCGAGACCCTCAATTTGCTGGAGACTGGATATTCCCGTTGCTGCCGCTGCCGGTGCCAGGCGAACCGCCTAGACTGTGCCAAACTCGTGGTAAGGGTTGGGTTCTTGATGCTGGGGGTATCCTTGAGCCCCTGACAGTGTGTGTGTGCATGTCTGTGTGTGCGTGTGTGTCTGTCTGAACGGCTGGAGCCTAGGTCTGGTCTGGGTGCAGAGGCTCTGCCTTGGGCCTCCCCATGTGCCAGGAGTGCAGAGGCCAGCCCCTGCCGCCTTCTGTCTGCCTGGGCCTGGGTCCTTTCCTGGAGCCGAGGAAGAAGGCAGGAATGGACGGGGCTGCCGGGCTGATCCACCGCTCTCGCTCTAGTGGGAGGATGCAATGACCCGGTTCTGTGAGGCTGAGTTCTCGGTCAAGACCCGACCCCACTGGTGCTGCAGACGGCAGGGGGAGGCTCGATTCTCCTGCTTCCGGGAGGAAGCTCCCCGGCCACACTACCAGCTCCGGGCCTGTCCCAGCCACCTGCCTGGCATTTCCTCGGGCCCCGAGGTGCCTTTTCCCCCTGGGGCACCCACACTGGACAATGTCAAGAACATCTGCCAGCTGAGACGTTTCCGTGCCGTGCCACGCAACCTCCCAGCTACTGACCCCATCCAAAGGCAGCTGCAGACTCTGACCCAGCTGGAGGGGGAGTTCCAGCGCTGCTGCCGCCAGGGCCACAACCACACCTGTACATGGAAGGCCGTAAGTGGGCGTCCTGGCCCCTGAGAGCCCGCCTGCCTGTCCCCGACCTCTGATCCTGCTGGTCCGTCCATCTGTGCACCTCCCCACCGTGAGCACATCCACCACGTGTCTGCTTGTGATTGTCCACCCGTGTGTTCGTCATCGGAGTCTGTTCATCCTGAGCCTTCATCCCACACTCCCGGCCTCGTCTACCCACCACCCCACACGTGCACCCGTCTGCCTTCCCTCCGTGCAGCTCTGGCCTCACCTGACCTTCCCAGCTACTGTTCCGGCTGTTCTCCGTGACCAACTCAGACCTTCATCTGTGCTTCCAGCTTCTGCCTTCCCAGACCCACTCATCCGCAGCTCCCTCCTTGCCCTCTGGTCCTTTGCTCTCCCTTCGGCCCCCGGCTGGGGCCTCTCATCTCGTAGCTGGGGGCCACAAGGGAGAGATGGTTAGGAAGGGGCAGGCGTCCAGGCTTTTGACTTCCTACTCTCTGGCCTGCAGTGGGAGGAGGCCCTGGATGGATACTGCGACCGGGAGCAGGCCGTGAAGACCCACCGGCATTCGTGTTGCCGCCACCCTCCTAGCCCTGCCCGCGATGAGTGCTTTGCCCGTCGAGCTCCCTACCCCAACTATGACCGGGACATCTTGACCCTTGACCTCAGCCGAGTCACCCCCAACCTCATGAGCCATCTCTGTGGAAACGGAAGAGTTCTGTCCAAGCAGTGAGTCCTGCCTCATTTTCCCCAGCACTCTTCCCTTGCCAGAAACTTCGCTTCTGGGGCACCTTTGGAAAGAGCAAAATCATAATCTTCCAGAACCTTTTTTTTGAGAGTTTTTTTTTTTTGCTATAGGGCACGTGCACTCGCCAGACAGACAGAGAGAGACAGAAAGTGAGAAATCACCTCCCCGGGGGGCTGGCCACGCCACAATCCCCTCTCCACCATTCCCCTTTCGGGCTCTTGGGCACGCACGCACACGTGCCCGGCGCGAGTTTAAGCCGCCAGGTCCGGGGAGTCCAGCGACATAGCCATTACTACTACGACATAGCTAACTACTGGTCCCTTCCAGAACCTTTTTTTTGAGAGTTTTTTTTTTTTGTATAGGGCACGTGCACTCGCCAGACAGACAGAGAGAGACAGAAAGTGAGAAATCACCTCCCCGGGGGGCTGGCCACGCCACAATCCCCTCTCCACCATTCCCCTTTCGGGCTCTTGGGCACGCACGCACACGTGCCCGGCGCGAGTTTAAGCCGCCAGGTCCGGGGAGTCCAGCGACATAGCCATTACTACTACGACATAGCTAACTACTGGTCCCTTCCAGAACCTTTTTGATACCAGGGTCCAAAGAGCCCAAAGAACCTGACCCCTGCCCCTTTTCTTCCAACATAGTAAACAGATTCCTGGGCTGATCCAGAACATGACTGCTCTCTGCTGTGACCTGCCATTCCCAGAGCAGGCCTGCTGTGCTGAGGAGGAAGTGAGTGTGTGGGATGCGGGGTTAGAGTCTCCAGAGCGGGCAGGGGAACAGAGGCACTGCCCCTCCTCTCTAGCCACAGATGAGCCCATGGAAGTAACGAGAACTGTAGGGTAGACCCTCTTTCTTGGTTCCAGAAGTCTTCACTCCTGACCTGGCCTGCTCCCAACCCCTAAGTCCTATTACACTTTCTCTGGGCCTCCCGCTTCTGGCATGCCCAGATGTGCACGTCTGTCCCTCACAAGGAACCCAGCTGTACAGGACAGTCTTGCACCTCTCTGAGCACCAGGAAGGGATCCAGGGGAGGGCTGAGCTGCTGATGGAGGGGAACTTTGGGCACCAAGCATCCCTGCCTGGCCTGTGACTGCCCTTCCCCGTTGTCTCCGCTTTACTCTCCACCAGAAATTAGCCTTCATTGATGAACTGTGTGGGCCCCGGCGGAACTTCTGGCGAGACCCTGCTCTGTGCTGTGACCTGAGTCCTGGGGATGAACAGACCAACTGCTTCAACACCAACTATCTGAGGAACGTGGCTCTAGTGGCTGGAGACAATGCCAGGGGCCAGGGGCAGCAGAGCCCAACAGAGGGAACAAATGCCAGCCCCACCTCTGAGCCCCAGGAAGAATGAGTCACCCCAGAGCCTTGAAGGATCAGATGGGGGGACTCCACCCTACCCCACCCTCCTCGAACACTCATCACAGTAAACACCTCTGGGATTTGGCGTGCTCGTTCTATGTAACACCGCACACACAAACACACCCTCCTCAGCCTGCTTGGATTTCCTTCATGAGGATGCCTGAGGCCCACGGCCCTGTCTCCTCCTGAGCAGAAGATGTTTCACAGGTTGTGTGATGGGACTATAACTAAACGGAGTGACTTCACTATTTGTCGTCTTGAATTTATTCAAGTATTTAAAAAGGAGCACTACCAGGGCCAGCCGGTGGCATGGTGGGTAAGGGGCTGGACTCCCACATGGCCTCCTGCAGTTCGCCCAGACCTGGCAGCTTGCTATCTCACGCTCTCTCTCTGTCTCTGGTGAGCCCACGTGCCCTGTAGCAAACTTAAAAATAATAATAATAAAATTAAATAATTCTTTTTTTAAAAAAAGCAGCACTATCTTGTTAGCTTGCTACTGGGATTCAGAGTAAACTACGGTTCACAGCCTTGGTGAACCTCCACAATGCCACAGCCTGGCCTTACATTTAAAAATCTTTGCTTTTGAGGGGCCGGCAGGTGGCCTGGTGGTTAAGGGTGCTGGACTCCCACATGGACAACTGCAGTTTGAGTCCCGGACCTGGCGGCTTGCTTTCTCACTTTCTCTCTCTCTCTGTTCCTCTCTAGTCAAATTGAAATAAATAAATAAATAAATAAGGTTTAATTAGCTGTTTATGGAGCCCCTACCTATGTGTACTGGGGAAGACTTGGGGCATGTGTGCTGGGCATGCACATGGGAAAGGCACAGGCCCCACCTTGGAGTCCTTCACAGCCGGAGGCTAGCCTGTTACCTGCAAGGGTTGTGATCTAGGGCGGCCAGCGAGACAGGGTTCTCATAGCAAAACAGGGGTGCCTGGACGTGGGAGTGGGGCCTGGGGCAGTACCAGGCACCAGGAAGGTCTCTGGGGCGGAGAGTTCTGAGCTCCAGCAGAGAATCAGAGAGTGCAAGGGGCCGGCCTGTATAGGCGGACCAGCGAAAGTGCCTGGCTCCATGGTGGTCTTCCTCTCAGGTGTGGCTGGGAGCTCTTTGCGAACACCTGCCAAATCCTCAGGGTTCCAAGCCCTGCTCTGGGGGCGCACTGACGGTCTGCAGGGGAGAGCTGTCCAGATCCGCCTCTTACAATGTCTAGGCCTGCCGCCTGGGTAGTCTGGGAGGCCGGGTGGGCAGTGCCAATGCCATGGAGGGAAGAGGGCTGCAGTCCCCAGCAAGAGCTGGACTAGAAGATGGAGGTGACTGGGACTTTGAAGACCCAGGAACCCGGAGCCTCAGGGCTGGAGCTGGATCATGGGAATGAAGCCTGGGGTCCAGGGTGGAATGGGGGAGTGGCCGTGTCTCGGGTCCTCTGTGCTTTCCCCTTGTTCTCTCTGAGACGATGAACCTGGGAACACCGTCCTGCCCCAGCCAGGGACAAGCTGAGCCTCAGAAGCCTTCAACCCCCCCCCCGCCGCTCCCGGCTCCCTTCACAGCTTTTTGTTTATTTACTAAACAGCTTCTTACCAGATCCTTAGCTGGCTCCCCGCCGCCTGTCCGTCATCACGGGGCCAATGAGCGGGCGAGTACAGCGTTGTGCTCCGCCCCTGTGCCGGCAACCCCGCCCCGCCAGGGCTCGAGAGCGTCCTTGCGCCTGCTCGGAAGCCGGGCG